AGAGACAGCTTTAATAGGATTGAGAAGAATTACAGACACACTGACAAAGCAGGATACAGAAATAGATTAAAGTTGGCCTGCTACAATGATAATCCAATAGTGCAGGCATCCTCCCAACAGTTAAGGTTACTTCACTGAAATACTAAATGGTATGAAAAGTATCCCTGGGAAGAGGTATTGACTCTAAACTAGTCTAATTGTCACCACAGTCAATGGAAACTTGTTAACTGGCTTTTAAAGGGGGATGGAGTTGTCTCAGTTGGATAGGGAACTGGCTGGACCCAGTGGGACTCCACTTCTTATGTTTGAGAGCTGAAAAGCTCTCCTGTAAAACAGGTAAGAGCAACTTATGGAAGTTTGGGTTCCTTTACAGGATTGGTTATTTTAAAAGAAAACTCACTGTTCTCCACCAGATTAAAAAGGTGAATTTACTTTGAAGTTTGTGTTTGGATACAGCATAGACATTGTTGAACACCGAAAACTTCTGGGCAAGACATCTGCCAAGTACAGATCTGCTCTCCATGAAGGGCACAATTATAGTTTGGTGCTCAAGAGATTCACAGTCGAGGTGTAAGTTCTGGTCACTCAGTGCCACCACATTCTGGCCACTCATGAAATAGCTGCTCAGCATTCAACACTGGGATCATTCAGACTGCAGACCAGGCAAAAGACTGTGAGAATGACAGATAAAACCAATCCTGGTTCAATACTAGGCCTTCAGAAATTCTTTTAATGGCTGTGAGTTTGGGATAGGAACTGAATTTCAGTCCTTCAGAAACAACTATGAAGCAATGGCTAGAACTATTTCCATCTTACTCCATTTGCTATGTTGATATTTTATTGTAGATTTGTACAGCTGGGTTCCCGTGGACATAATATTACATATTTACTTGTTGTTGAACATTAGTTCATTTAAAACTTTTTTTTCTTGTATCTTTAAATTTCAAATGTATATTGGATTTATAAAAGAAAATGAACTATCTTCAGGGTTGGAAAGTCATAGCAGCAGATGGTGGCTGAATTGTTCTCCTGGTCAGGAGGCTGATCTGTGGTGCTGAGCATCATTTCGGGTTTGTGATTAAAGCTACGAGTCTTCCTTCCACTCATGAAAGACAGCTCAATCATGTGCACTGCAAAGTTTATGGTGGCTTATAGGAATGCTAGCAGTATTGCTTTCTCCTGCTCTTGGTTACAGAAAGATATATGTCTTGAGCCCCTGCAAGTCTGTGATTCAATGATTTTCCACTGAACATATATACACAATTAGTGGTATTGTTGTTTTGGTTTATTTGTTTGTTTTTATGTTTTAAAGAACTAGGAATGTAAAAATTATGTTAGATAAGTGAAGAACCTCCAATAGTTTGAAGTTGTTTCTTATTGTTCATCAATACAATAAGATCATAAACAGGAAATTTGGATTTATGCTCTTTCTTCTATTCCAGTGAAGGACTGTTGTTACAGTAAAAAATGCATCTGCATTATTAAAAAAATGGGCCAGCAAAGGACAACAAGTATACAGTTATTAACAAGTGTTTGTTTGTTTGTTTGTTTGTTTGTTTGTTTGTTTGTTTGAAGACAGAGTATGCTCCAATATTTGCCATTTCTTCAGTGTGTCAAAAGGGTTGGTAAGCATCTGCTCAGGAGGAGGATAATAGTGACTGCCACTGTCACTGTCATCTCTCTCTAAATCTCAAAATCCATCACCAGGTCGAGGAAATCCTCCTCTAACAACCATGTCCTTCCCTGGGAATAATTCAGGGAACCACACATGGAGCTGGCTCCTTGAGAAATCAATTAATAAGGGATTTAAGTCTGATATTCTGATATGTTGATGGTATTTAGCTTTTCACGGTGGCTACGCTTATGTAGTAAGGAAACGTGGCTCATTTAGAGGAGTGGAATTGCTACAAGAAGCAGCAGATTACATTGCCAAGGTAAGTGTGCGCACTGATGAAAGCTTTTACTACAGAACTGCTAGGGACACTTTTTGCATGTTAGTGCAGATTTATGTTTTGATGGACTTCATGTTTTAAAGCTGATGATGATTTTTTTGTGGCTTGAAATTCAGTGGACCAATGACAAGGTGAGAAATGGGTAAAATAAGAAAGCAGGAGAGGTGGAAGTTAATCTTCCATTCTCTGCAGTCCTGTAGGATAATGCTGCCTTCATTTTCTTGCAGCCCTAAAGATTTTGACACATAGGAATTACACATTTAATTTTTAGTTCATAAGATTTGACAAGGCAGTGGTTTGTTGTAGTAGTCACGTTTAGAAATTCAAGGGAAAGAAGGCGAACTGTTGGTGATACAGGAAGAAAAAAAAAAAAAAGCAACAAGAAACCTAAAATAATTGCAAAGGAAGCACTTACCTGTGTTACTTTCAAACTTTAGCCTGAATACTACAATGTGGCATTGACTTACCATCAGTGTAACAAGATGTGACAATGTACCAGTTCAAGAAACAGTGTGCAACCACAGAAAAGGAAACGCGGTGGTGATACAACTTAGCAAAGGCAGCCTGAAGTATTTTGCATGAAAAAGCTCTATAAGGCAGTCAGAAATGCCTTAAGGGAGATCCCGGGCCCAGTGGGCTTAACGGAGAATGTTCTGCTGTTCTTAATGCCAGGTTTTGTGATACAAATGCTGTAACAAAGTGGCTACAGTCCCCAGACCAGGAGAAACTGTTGTGTCTGTTCAGCTGGCATGGTGCACACGCTGCATTATTATTTCTGAGCTTTAGACTCAACAGTTTCAAGGTTCCAAGCAGTGTGCGCTGGAGCTAATGGAATTTGAAGATATTCTTGTGCTATTTGTCCTTGACTGTGTGAGAAGGGAGACAACTTAGGGCAGCAACCACCCGAGCTGAGATTTGGATTTAATTCTTTGTGACTACAGGACAGTAAATGCTTCCAGTTTCTATGTGTAGATAGTTTTGAAGCATACTTAATGCCCAGTAAATGCTTTCTGTGCCTCAGAAATATGAAATCTCCGGTCCTGCCCCCAAAAGCTGCTCTTCAGTCCCAGCAAATTCTGCTTTCTCAGAACACAAAGCACCCTACAGTTCTTCTTTTTTTGGTTAGACACTAATGGAGTCAGATGAATTGGTTTATTAGGAAAAAAAAAAAACAAAAAAACAAAAAAAAAAAACCATTGAAATTCCTATTCACCTGAAGAAGAGGGGAAACGGCAGGACATAGACTTTGCCCAAACTCCAGGCTATGTATTCTGGGTAGGTGTGGTTTTTCTACATGTCCTGTTTCACCACACTTCTCACTGTCTAATTTCTATCTTATGGGCAAATTAATACGTCTCCATATCACAAAGTCTAGGTTATCTATTTTGCTGTCATTCTTCTGCAAAGATAAACATGAAAACCAGGTTCCTAGAAAAGCTGTTACTGCGAGTGTTAATGTGGACTGATTTAGAGTACACTGACAGGCATGATTTGCCTTGAGATGAGCATTTTTGCAGTTGTTTCATGCCAAGTGATTGGAAGTGGTTGGACACAGCTTTATTTTACACCATTTTCATTTTCTGTGAGTTCTGTGGAGGATATAGGTCAAACCAGGGTGGGGCTTTGTGTGCCAGCATTAGCAGATCTTTCAGAGCACCTGTAAGCAGATACAAAGCTGCTTAATTTAACCTGGTATACTTTCAGTCTCCACACACTCAAGTACTATGTATCCTTGGTGCAAGTCAGTGAAAACTCTGTTACAGCTTTTAGGGTGCTAGTGAACCTGACCTAATGTTTGCTATGTGTTTTCCTGTGACACTTCAGACCTGATGCTTGCTGTTGAGAGTTTAAAGATTGATCAGCAATGCTAGACAATATTTAGGACTATTCTTGAAAGAACAGATATTAGCCTTCAATTTTCATCTTTCTGTTTTGTAGAGTTACGAATGTTTCTGTATCATTTCTTACACACGTTATTCATGTCTGTCAGCTGCTTGAAACATGGGTTTCCTCCTCTGTTTCTTGTACAGGAATATTTTTTATTTTCATTGGCAAATCAAGTCAGGTAAGTCTAGCAGTACTGTTGCAGCTGTAGCACCCTTATTCTCTTTTGCTGTGTACTTCACTACAGAACAGAATTACTTTAAGACTGGCTTATTCCACGGCACTTTACTTCATTTACCAGTGGAACAGCACTTATTTCTCAGTTTGTGGCTTACAGGCATCTCTACAGTCTGATGTCATATACAGAATTGATATTGCAGTGGATAGCATCTATTTTGAAATCCCAACTAAAAGGCCCTTTCAAGAGCAGATCACTTGTAGACATCAGTGATGCTCCAACAATTAGCAGTGCTATTGATATGAAGATATAAGTGACAAAATCATAAGAATAATGGTAGAAGGAGGCAAAGAAGCAGCAGAAGATAGTTACTTCAGTGATTAGAAGTTTATGCAGTACAGGATACAATATATTAATTATGCACCCTACAGCTTTTTTTTTTTTTTTTTTTTTTTTTTTTTTTTAATATATTGAAATGAACAAGCCAGACATAAATAGCTTCCAGCATTTCTTCTTAAGATGTGCTTATCCTATGTGCTACGCAAGTAATGAGAACTCTACAGCAGTCTTCAAATACAGAGTTACAGCAGCTATTCTTGCTGTCATCAGATTGTAACTTTCAGATGTCAAACATACTGAGGATTCAGGATGTCACCTGTTCATGAATCTATTTATCCATCTCCACGAAAAAACTTTTGAGTCTTTGGTTCAAAACCAAATGTAATAGCAAAAAAGGCTTCAAAAAAATTTCCTATTTTTTCAGTTGCCTGATCATTCAGCACACTGCAGCACCCACACCACCGTTTTTATCTGGAGGGAATGTCACGTGAGAGAGGAAACTGGAAAAACTGCTAGGAATTTGGGGGGAAGCAAGGAAATAAGAGCTTCACCTTTAGGGGGAAAAAAAAATAAAGGTGTGTTCTGCTAGTTGTGATACTTTCTGAAATTAATCTTCCTCTCTTACCCAAGCTAAGACAATTTTGACCATGAAGGTAGGAGTTATTGAGACCCATCACTCCCATGCAATCATTCCCAGTGTGGTGGTGCAAGACACCAGTGAGGATCCTGGACTGACAGAGAAAGGGGAAAACAGGTGTGCCAGGTTTGCTTCATTCCATTCCATTCTTGTGTGTTTGGTTTATTTTTCTATTATTTAATAATTTGGGAATAATTAAGCATAGATAACTTGCCTTCATCTGATTTTCTTCTTCCTCTATTAAAAAATTGATTTTATAATGATGTGATGTATATGTAGATTTTTTTTATAGTAAGTATTTGCATAGATTACTTAGTCCATGATTAAAATTGTGACAAATAGCCTGTGACAATGTAGAGGAATTTTTTTTTTATTTCAGCAGTATAACACGTAACTGTTGTTTTGCTGTTCCCTAGGAAATGGTATCTACCCGGTGCATTTGCACAATACAATGCTAACAACAATAGCAATAAAGACGAGTAAGTACCTTTGCAATCTCCAATAGTGATAGTGCTGCTTTACTGATTGCTTAAGCAGCCATGAAAAGGAATAATCTATACCTATAGTTTCCTTACAAGCAGTTATGTTGTGCAAGTAATCCCGAAAGAGATTGCATGTGCATTTGAATTTTACAGACATCAAATATTAAGATCACCCCCAATACCAAAGCTATTGCTATTTTATCTATTAATTATGAATTTAAGTAGTTCTGTATTAATGCAGTAAGAAAAACAAATTTTCAAGACCAAGCAGCTAAGCATATTTCTTTGTCCTTAACAAACTCAGATGATTCTAATAATTAAATGAGGAAACAGTAACTGCTGTATTTTCTTTTTCTTAAGAGAGAAGAAAAAGAAAAAAGAAAAGAAGAGGTAAGACAGAAAATCTACTTTAAGGGCTTTTGAGTGTTTCTTTGTGCTTGTTAACTTCTTGACTGGAGCACTGATTTTTGCTACCTGTGGTGTCTACTACTATTTCTAAAGCGTTTAATTTTCCAAACATGCTTTAGCTGAATCCGTAATAACTGCAAACATAAATCTATTTTGTAGCAAGTCAGAAAACAAGAAGGATGGAGAAAGACAAAAGAACAAGGAAAAAAAGGAAAAACACAAAAATAAAGATAAGAAGAAGAAAGAAAAGGATGAAGAGTAAGTATTTTTCATTTAGGTCTTGCTATGTTAGTTTGATCAAATCACTTTTTAAGTACAACTAAAAAAATGCATTGGTGGGCGTGGTGTAAACAAGATGCTTACTCATGAGTGAACTGGTACATGGAATGCTGTTGTTCTTCTAGAACAGAATTGTTCTGATTTATTTTTCTATGTAGAGGGTAGAATGAGAGCATAAATGCTGCATGGAAAAAATAAGACATAAAAAAACGCAACAAAATACAAAAGATCTCGTGTGGATTGTGATTATCTAATATATTTTGGATAATGCTCTTCAGCAAAGGAAGGTCTTCCGCATGTCAGTGTCACCTATAAACAAGTAAATTTTTATGTGACTTAAAAGTTCTTGCTTTTTCTTTTTTTTTTTTTTTTTTTTTTTTTCTTTATGCTTGAAAAAAATCATCATTTCTTGACCAATGAAGAGAAAAGTGTTGTTTCCATGTTCTTTGGTTTCTGTATATAAATCGTGCTGATAATTCATCTTGCTCAGAACTAGATGTTTCACAGTGAGGAAGGTATAGTTTGTCTCATATAACATGCATATTCACACAATTGTTTTATTGCATTCATTCAAGGAAGCTTAGCTTCAATAAAGACCTTTTATTTAACGTTAATCTTTTCTGGAATTCTTTGTTCCTCAGAATTTATTGCATATATTTTCAGTCTCTTCTCATAGCTCTTTTTCTCTACCTATCACTCAGGAAGAAGAAAGATATTTTCATCATTGATCCAGCAGGAAATATGTATTACAACTGGTTGTTCTGCATCACAATGCCTGTCATGTACAACTGGACAATGATTATTGCTAGGTGAGGTAGTCCTTTAATAAAACTTCTGACAAACTGTAATACATATACCTAGTAGGAAATTCACTTTATTCATTCATTTCATGCAAGTATTTCGTTTTCCTTTCATGGTAACTTACTTTTTCCTTTCCTATTCAGAGCCTGTTTTGATGAGCTTCAGAATGACTACTTACCTGTATGGTTTATTGTTGATTATGTTTCTGATGTCATCTATATTGCTGACATGTTTGTACGGACAAGAACAGGTATGTATACTTGATAATTCATTATTTCTATTAGTATGTTCATTTTAAAGTCTTATGCTACACCCAGAGCTAGATACTTCTAATATGGCACAGAAAGTCCGAGGCTCTAACTCCTTCCCTCCATTAAACTTCCTATGGCCTGTTTTGTTGTTGTTTTTTTTTCTCCCCCCCCCCCAAATGTTCATCAGTGAAAGGAAAATGGTCAGAACTAGAATTGTATTCTTTTCAAAGCTGTATACTTTAGCTTACGCTGAACCATATGGTCCTAAGTTGAATGCTTGAACACACGAGAAATTGCTTTAAAAAAAAAAGTTATGCATGATCTGGAAGTTGCACACAACGTGTCTTTCAACTTACATTTGGTTTGACACTAAATACAAAAAGTTGAAAATGAAAAAATCTAATACTTACATGCAACTTGATTTTAGGTTACCTGGAACAAGGTCTTCTAGTGAAAGAAGAACAAAAGCTTAAAGAGAAATATAAGAGCTCCCTGCAATTCAAATTAGATTTTTTGTCAATCATACCAACTGACCTCTTATACTTTAAGTTAGGGCTGAATTACCCAGAATTGAGAATAAACCGACTGCTCAGAGTAGCTCGGATGTTTGAATTCTTCCAGCGAACAGAAACAAGGACAAACTACCCAAATATCTTCAGGATCTCTAACCTTGTCATGTACATTGTGATCATTATTCACTGGAATGCCTGTGTGTATTACTCGATCTCAAAAGCCATTGGATTTGGGGCTGACACATGGGTCTACCCCAACACCTCTCATCCTGAATTTGCCCGTTTGACCAGAAAGTACGTCTATAGCCTCTACTGGTCCACTCTGACCCTGACTACTATTGGTGAAACACCCCCTCCTGTACAAGATTCTGAGTATTTCTTTGTGGTTGTTGACTTCTTGGTGGGAGTATTGATTTTTGCTACCATCGTTGGTAACGTCGGCTCTATGATCTCCAACATGAATGCTGCCAGGGCAGAATTTCAAGCAAAGATTGATGCTATCAAGCAGTATATGCACTTTCGGAATGTAAGTAAAGACATGGAAAAAAGAGTTATAAAGTGGTTTGACTATCTCTGGACAAACAAAAAAGCTGTGGATGAAAGGGAAGTCTTGAAGTATCTGCCAGACAAACTAAGAGCAGAGATTGCAATCAATGTTCACCTGGAAACATTAAAAAAAGTTAGGATTTTTGCAGACTGTGAAGCCGGTTTGTTGGTTGAACTTGTTTTGAAACTCCAGCCCCAAGTATACAGTCCTGGAGACTATATTTGCAGAAAAGGAGATATTGGACGAGAAATGTACATTATCAAAGAAGGCAAACTTGCAGTAGTTGCTGATGATGGAGTGACACAATTCGTAGTCCTAAGTGATGGCAGCTATTTTGGAGAAATCAGCATTCTTAATATCAAAGGTAGCAAAGCTGGCAATCGAAGAACAGCCAATATTAGAAGTATCGGATACTCAGACTTATTCTGTCTGTCTAAAGATGATCTCATGGAGGCTTTAACAGAGTATCCTGATGCAAAGGCAATGCTGGAAGAAAAAGGTAAACAAATCCTCATGAAAGATGGATTGCTGGACATTGAAGTTGCAAATTTAGGAAGTGATCCTAAAGACCTGGAAGAGAAGGTTGCTTATATGGAAGGAACAATGGACAGATTACAAACAAAGTTTGCCAGGTTGCTAGCTGAGTATGATGCTGCACAACAGAAACTGAAAAAAAGACTTACACAAATCGAGAAAATACTGAAGCCAGTTATAGAGCAAGAATTCTTAGACTTTGAAGAAGCAGATCCATCCACAGATAAACCTGGAGTGACAAAAACAGAATAAAAACCTAGCGATTGGCAATAGGACTGAAGGTCCAGTCCTTCTGACTGAATACATTCTTCTCTAGGCTTGTATGACCCAACAATTACTTATGAAAAATTATCCATTGAGGTAATATCATCAATTCCCTAAAAACAACACATATTTGACATCTTTAGGAAGGAAAGAAGAATCAAGAATGAGGATAGGACATAAAATCTCACTCTTTATGTTACACCTTTGTACACCTAATGCATTCTAATTGTGTAGGAATATTGAAGGTTTTCCTGACTGCTTTAAAATAATTTCTTCATGTCTTCTTATGGAAAGATAAAAAAAGTTTGATAACTGTATTAATTATCTTAAGTGAATATAGGCATGAATCGTGATAATAATTTGTGTATAAACAAACACATTTTAATATCTGCTGATTAAAGTATGATTAATTAAATATGGGATATTATTACATATTTCTGTTCCTAAAAAATTAGGTATATCTACAATGCAGATGTGAGCATTGAAGGTTGTAGGATCTGGAAAATATAATGACTTCATTGGGTCCACCTCAGCTGATTTCTTGAAGTAAGAATGGGCAGTTTTAAAATGGTGGGGTTTTTTTAGGAATATTACAGGAAAAGGCTGGAGTACGGAGGGGAGAAAATCTGGCCTTTTTATTGTATCTGTGTGAGAAGTATAGATGGCTGAAAACCTAGCTATTCTTTCCACAGTGGTAGCAGATACTGAAGAATGCTCTGCTCTGTGCAATCACATGGGTGCTGAGCATGGACTACTCCTCCTCAAATATAACTGCTTAAAAATCTTTATGTCACTAAAGTAACAGCTATGGATACCAGCAGAGTGCAAAAGGAAGAGATGATGGAAGGAGGCCTGACTCTCCCTGCAGCATCTTCTGTAGCTACTTCTGGGGAAAATACTTTTTCTTTTTTTTTCCTTAAATTGTCTGGGTATTTCTTTCTTCTGTTCTTACTACTAATATAGTTAAATTCACAGGTTTAAGTCTGGTAAGATTTCAACCCATTTAAAAATTGTCTGCATGGCTTTTCCTTAATTTGTCTTTTTCTCATTGGAGAAATTGTTTTTATTAGTTGTGGTCTCAGACTTGCCTAGGTATTTTCAGTATATTTTTTTCCATAGTCACTTGATGTTGGACTAATTTAGTGACTGTGAGTGAAGAAAGGGAGTGCATGGAGAGAATACATAATTCTGTAGTTAGAGTATTTTTAATGTCTTGGGCAATTGGACTTCCAGTCTTAAACAGTACATGTGTAAAAACTGTTATCACTTGATAATATATATATATTTCTATTTTGTTCTGTTCTTTAGTAAGATGGAAATGCTACATATTGGATCTTTTGTTTGAGCAAAGTGTATTCACTTATTTTTATTTTTTAATGCTGACGAGATTCTAGAATGGGAGAAATCTATAAACAACTGATTTCACAGTGAGAATTAAATGTCATGAAGTAATAAACACGTAGATTTTATATGGATTATTTACATGAGATGGCTGCTCATTCACCCTTGATCCTGTGCTTCGAACAACACATTGGAAAATGTGTTGGTGAGGCAAAAGGATATGCATTTCATTCAAACCTATCAATGCAAACAAGAAGTGGCATTTTCTGCATTATGAATGTTGGACTTTGCAACCAGAATTCTTGTTGTAACTCACAGTCCACATGGCAGCAGCATCATATAGGCCCTGTGTCATTGCTTACTAGGCACTTAAGAAGCACTTTTCATCTTTGTTGAAGAGTTTAAGGTCTTGTATTAGAGAAATGTGATGGAATTACTAATATTATATAGAGTTTAATAAAGACAGAGGGCTACTGTGCACGTTGTCTCTCTTGGATCTTTCAGTGGCGAGTTGTAGCTGCTAGCTGCCACTTTCCTATCAGTAACATTTCAAAACAAGTGAAACCATGATTGACCTGTAGCAGCTTATTTAGCATTTTCAGGCTCCATATGATCTGAAATCTTTTATTAACTGCCATCAATATGTGTTTGCTGGAAGAAACCCTTAAAAACAGAGCTCACGGAGACAGCACGCGAAGTCCCCGCGTACCCCAGGCACCTCCGTGCTGCGCAAAGGAGACCCGGACGCCGCACGGCGGTGCACGCTGGGTGCCGTAGTCCTCCGGGCCGCCGCTCGGCCCCGTCCCGCCGCTTCTCGCCTCGCTGCCGAGCGAGGAACGCTGGGAGCTGTAGTCAGACCTCCGCCTGCCGCTTCCGTGCGGAGGGGCCGAGCCGGCGGGGAGGGCGGAGAGCTCGCCTCGGGGCGGCTGCGGCCGTGAGGAGTGCGGCCCTTCTCCAGCTGGCGGGGAGGGATGGAAGCGGCCTGGCGGCAGGGTGGCCGGGGCCGGGGTCGCGCCAGGCTCGGGGATGGGCTCTCCGGCCGTACCGGGGCGGCCGCCCGGCCTCCTGCCGCTGTCGGCCGCGGCGGTGCGTGCGTTCGGGCTGCGGCGAGCGGCGGCGAGAGGACCTGCGGTGAGTGCCCCTGCTTCCCCTCAGCGCTGCGGCGGGGCCCAGCAGCCCGGCCCGGCCTCGGGAAGACCCCAGAACGCGGCCGGGGACCTGGAAGAGCGAGGCGGACCCGTGTGACGGAGAGCGCGGCCCCGGCCACGCTGCCGGTGGAGCGAGCCGGGGCTCGGCGGGGGCATCGCGGGTCCCTTCTCCCTCTTCGGGAGCCCCGTGTGTGCGCAGTGACCCGGAGCTGAGCCGAGGTGTCCGCAGCGGTCGGTGCCGTTCGAGCGGTGCGGCGAACCTCGGGAATGGCTGCGGGGTGGTTAGCAGCTGATGGGAGCGCGGTGGGGACCCTGCGCGGCGGCGGGCAGGGATCGGGCGGTAAGATGGGCGTGTAGTCCCGTGTGGGAAACAGCAGCTGCTTTAGGGACTCTGAAGGCCACAGGTAATCGACAGATAGTAATTCCTGTCGTGGATTTTATGGATAATGCCCAGCGAAGGAGGGGAAGTAGTGTATGTTTTCCTGTGTGGTATTGGAAGTGTAACAAAATAGCATCCTCAGAAACGTAAGATAAGCAAACTTGCTAAGTAGAAAATGGTGAAGGACTGAATGTGGTGTAGCTATTAATGATGATTAAGATCGCGACAATTGTTTCTTTTGAATAGAATTATCTTCACAGAAGAAATTTGATGAAATTAAGAAAGCGAATCAGGCTGCAGCAAGAAAGCTGGCTGAGGAGCAGTTTAGTTCTTCATCAGAAGATGATGATGAAGATGCTGAAATAAAACAAGGGAAGATTTTGGCAAAAACATTCACCATTTACACCAATCAAACCGGTAAACTTTTATTGTATATTGACTTTTATTTAAGTATGAAAGCATAGAAGGGATGATATTATTGGTTATAACTTAGACTTTTTGCACAATTGGAGGGAAAACAGCTTTTCTGATGTACTTCTTTCTTTCTGATGTATTGAAAATACTTGTTCCCAGCATTGCATACTTGCTGTGCCTCTTGCCTTATTCAGCAGAACCAGTGGTACAGTTTTGCAGTTTTCTTAAGTACTTGTAATAATGTGTTTTTTTATTAATATAACTGGCCTCTGTTCAGAGGAAAAAAAAATACTTCTTACAACAGTCTCAACATGTACAGAATAGCAGATCAAACGTGATTTTAAAAATTGCTTTAAAAATTTTTGTACGTTAAAGATGGAGATGCAAGTGAACTGGAACGTACAAGACAGTACATGAACGAAGCTTTTCAGTCAGGGGCTATGACATGTCTGATCTGCATTGCTTCAGTTAAAAGGAACCAAGCTGTAAGTACTTTACAGTATGCTTTCAAGTATTTGAATTGTAGCAATATCATACATGTTTAAAAAGACAAAGAAATTTCTGCTGCTTATCTTTTGCCGAAAATTTCATTCATTCTAAGCTGCCAATTTAACACATCATGCGAAAGATGCCAAAGGCATAAAACTGCATTTTTATAACTTGAATTTATTTTCGGCAGCAGGTTGGTATTCTAAGCAAAATAGTAATTCCCTCCAGAACTAGCAGTGAGGAGTGCACTGAAGCCACAGAGGATTAGTGATGGAGAGAAAATACTATCAAAGTCAGCTCTCTTAAGTGTTTGCTGCTGCTTTTGCATTATCCTTCTTTAGCTCTTTGAGAAAAAGACCATATAGTAAGTCATTCTTCTGAAAAAAAATCCTTTTCTCAATGTTTAGAGACCTAGGGTATGTGATAGTTGGGCTTATTTAGTCTGGCAGACAGGATGCAAAGGAGTGATTTGATTACAGGCTCTGGCCACTTAGAAGCTGTGAAGAAAACTAAAGCCAGTCCTCTCTGTGGTGACAGACGGTAATAAAGGGCAGTGGCACAATCTGAGGTTTGAAAGGTGCAAACTAGATGCAGGAAAGGTAGTGCTACACATTGATAGGTTGCCCAAGGTGACTGGAGACTCTATCTTTAAGGGGCCCCCCCAGAACTTAAAGTTAGGCAACTGTTAAGGTGGCTGTAATTGCATTTTGGGCAAGAGGTAGCACTGTATCACCTCCAAAAGTGTGCTTAACTCAGTATTTCTATGGCTACATGGGCTTCATAAGCTTTGGTGAAAACAGCAAGAATAATAGGGATGTGAATCTGTAGCAACAAAACTTCCTCTATTAATCTGAGATAACAACAGTTGTAATTTACCTTTGGGAATTTTTTTTTTTTTTTTTAAATGGGAAAATAGCAAGATTGTCTTTCTTTTGATGTGAATTTTCATCAATTGAAACGGGGAAAAAAAATACTCATTAAAAAAAAAAAAAAAAGTGGCACGTATCTACTCTTTAGGTCTGGAGCTGTTGTGGATGCTTCTGTATATTTCACCTGGTGTGTATCCAAAAGTGGGCCAAGGACAGTCTTTTCCTTGTGTCATCTCCCTTGACAGATGATGATTTTGGGAAGAAGGATTATCCATGGCCATGGTGAGTTCTTCATAATACATTTACATAGATACTTTTGTTGTGAAACGTGTGCACTGGAGTTGCTTT